CCAGTGACAAACCCCATCACGTAGGGTGAAACCAGAGGAAACCTGCCCGGGCTGCTGGCCACTGATAACACCACACTTGGCCTGTGCTGCTTCTGACACAAAGGGTGCAGTGGAAAAGTGCTCTCCTGCTCGGAAAAGTCAGCAATGCTCTATTTTTTAGTTTGAACAAAAAAGGAAAATATAATCTCAGTTCTTTCTTCCCTTCTTCTGTTTCCTTTTCCCCCCCAGCTTTGCTTTTCTTCCTTTCCACAGCTGCTGAAACTCTTTACCCTGTTGTGCCTACAGCTGGGAAACCTCCCAAAACACTGGGAAAGAAAGCATTTCATAAGGAACATTTACCAAACAGGCTTAATTCCAAACCCAAAGAGACCAAAAAATGTCACAACACTGTAAATGTCTCAAGGTTGGCTCTTATTTTCTCTGTGTCTTGCCCCATGCCCTGGCTCAGTGCAGACACCATGGCCAGATGTCTGCAGCACCCAAAAGGTCATCACAATGGTCAAGGGACAGCCACGAGGATGGCACCACTCGACTCAGGCTGCTGCTCTGGCTGCACTGTTCATCAGCCCAGAGGCAGGGGATGAAGCAGATGTTGGGGGTTTATAGTAGCAGTGTTAGGGAAAGGCCAAGGAACATCCAGCCCTGGTGAAATAGAGCCCAGGGAGAATCTCCTGGACAGCTGCAGGGTGGCTTGGCCATGGAAATGATGGTCTGTGGGAAGAGGCTGGGTCCAAGAAACCCTGTCTGGGGTCAGATCCTGCCTCTCTGAACCAAACTGCTGGAGACATGCAGCATCATGCTCCTTCTGACTGATGAAAAGCAGCTCTGCCTTAAATGAAACCAAACCAAATCCAAACAATCCACAACTTCTGTGCCCGAGGAGCAGAGCAGTTTGTTGTCAATGCTCAGCACTGAGCCCAGACTGACCTCACTGCAAACCCAATGCTGGTGTTGAGCTGCATTTTGAGGGAGCAGCACTTGAGGGGCAGTGGGGTTTCTGGAGGAGCTCCACTTCTTGTTCTTTTCCCAAATCAAGCCTCCTCAAAAGTAAAATCCTGGCAAGTGGGATGCTGAAATCCCCAAGGCAGCCCCAGGACGCTTAAAGGCGCTTTGTCCTCGTGGCTACCCAGGCTGCAGACCCAGAAAGGCACTTACAGGAGAGGATTTGGGGTTCCCTGCCCATGTTCCCAGCTCAAAGGGGACCTCAAGGGAGGTGTGCTACTATTTCCACCGTGCCACATCCTACCTGCCAGCTTGGAGAACTCCCGAGATGCTGAAGAGGCCAAAGTCTGTGATCACCACCTTCCCGTTGTCATAGAAAACATTTTTTGACTTGAGGTCCTTGTGAAGGATCCCCTTGGCATGCAGGTAGCCCATTCCCTAGGGTGGAAGAGAGAGAAAAACACCCCAAAAATGAGAAAGGATGATGCCAGAGCAGGGACAGCCCCACGATGGAGAGAGCCTGACCACGAGCATCCCTGTGCCAGCACTGCACGGCCACATTGCCAGCCTATGGCTGGGCCACAGCCAGAGGCTGCATGTCCCCAGGTGTCCCTGCAGAGAGGACAGTTATCCTGGGTGTCCCTGGCTTGGGACAGGCATCGGGTGGTGCTCACGGAGGGCGAGGAGCTCATGGTGTCTCAGTGCCCGCTCATCCTCCTGATTAATCGGTTAGGCAAGAGAAATTAGCAGCAAACCAAACTGGCAGTGACTTTCCTGAAATCCTCCGCTGAGAAATTAATGATGATGATGATGTTTTTGCCTCCGTTCTCTTTTGGGGCTGGGAGCAGAAGGGTGATAAGTCAAAGCTCTCCACCACCACTTCCCCTGGCTGAGCCATTAGCGCTTCCAACGCGCACACCGACACCATTAGCCTGGAAACAAGCTCCTGGCAGGAGTCCTGCCTTCATGCTTTTCCCCTAGGAAAAACTACTTGGGGGTTAATTAAAATGATTGCTAATGACGAAAAACAACACAAAAAAAAGAAGAGGCCACGGGTGGGAAATCCAAACCCCCCTACACGGGGCTTGTTTAGCGTCGGCGAGTCAAGCGGAGTGCCGACGGCTCGCCGGGATAACCAGCCTGGGGCACAGGGTGGGCCACAAAACCCATTTATCCTGACTTCAGCAGGGCTTTCAACGCTGTCTCATTTTTCATTCTCATAAGCAGACTCGGGGAAATTGGGTCTAGAGGAAGCTACTGAAGGATAAATGCCAAATGGGCCAGCAAACTGTTGCTGAAGAGCAAATGTCAGTTGTCGATGGCTGACACGGGGGGATTTATGAACTGGGTTTCCATGGGGGGCCATCCCAGGTCTGATCTTTTCACACATCATCATTAACCATGCAAGCAGTGGAAGAAGATGCTATTTTTAAGTTTGTGGCCGACGTGGAGCTGGGAGGCACAAAATTCAGAAGCTATCTGGAAAAATTGGAAAAGCAACCTGAAAAATCCACAACTCCCAAATGCCTTGGATGGGGGGGACAAAAATCTGAAGGTATCCAGGACTTAGCAGCAGCACAGACCCACGGGGCTCTGCTCCAGCAGCAGGAGGGCTGGGGGCAGCCAGGGACATGCTGCTGGGGACAGCAAACCCCCAAAACCCCACAAATCAGAGGGGGGTTTAGCTGCACCCCTTGGTGGGCAAATCCTGAGAAGCCTCTGCTAAAGGGATGCTGGAGGAAGGAAAGGATTCAGGGCTGCTGCTGGCCCCGAGATGCCCCAGCTGCAGCCGGGTGCCAGGACCATTCCAGGCACTGGGATTAATTAGGTATCTCCAGGTCCCAGCACATGAAATAATTATGAGGTTTAAAAATCTGCTTTCAAATGTCACCGTCACCTCCACAAAGCGCCCGGGTTGTGCAGGGAACAGCATCTCCCTTCCCTGAGCCTCTTTCTCCTGCGAGGTGAAGTGCACCTAGGGGACAGGATGAGACCCAGCACCTCGGGGATGCTCTGGAGCCCTCTCCCATCAGCCCAGGGTGACGGGAGCTCCCAGCAGGGGCTTTGCACCCACGCTCACGCAGCACGGGTGGGACCACGACTCCCGTGCCACCACCAAAGCCCTCACTGAAGGGCTGGCTGGAGGAGCTCTCAGCAGACCCAAATCCCTCATGGCATCACGCAGATCCCACTGCAAATTCCAGCCCTGGGATGATCTGTGAGAAAACACTTTGGGCCCAATAATGCCTTCATTTGCTGGGCTGCAGGGCGTGTGTGAAAATCCAGCTCCCTCTGCCGGCTTCGCTGCCCAGATGAAGTCACTTCTGTCTCCAGAGGATCGTGGCACAACGAAATCCCTCACACCCACTAATCCCCTGGGCTTAACAGCTCTCCCATCGCTCACAGAGACTCCAAGGATCAAGTCCACTGTGGTGACTGGGTAGCAGAGCCAAAGCCTCCACCCTGGTTCTGCCCCTGGTTTCTCCAGGCAATGCTGCTCTAAGCCAAGATAGCCCAAATTTTCCTTCACTTCACCACACTGGCAACCTCCAGGTCCACCAAAACATCCTTAACATCTGCTGCTGGACGTCGTGGAGAGGTGGGAAGGAGAAGAAACTGCTCCTGCTGGTGCACACCAGCATGAAGCTGTGAGAGGGGTGTGAGGGGCACCTATGAGCAGGACCTTTGCCTTTGGACCTCTGCTAATTCCTACAGGGACTTGGGTCAGACCTAAAGCCCCAGGCTGCAACAGAAGCACCCAAGCCCATACTCCCAAGGAGGAGAAGGGAGGTGGGAAAGGTGGCTTGCTGGTGCTCTACGACCAGGTCTACGTGCAGTGACTTGCTTCAGTTGATCTCATGGGGGAGTTTCTTCATGGTGATGATGCAACCCACACAGAGAGAGGCTGAACCAAGCTGTTACCTCCTGCTGTGAACATCTGGGAGGCAAGAACCCTGAGCACAAGCACGGTGGTAGTCAAGAGAAAAAAATCTGAGGCAATCCTAGGTGATGTCTCAGACATTTACTCAGGGGGGGAAATCCATCTTTAAAAAGTGGAAAATATGGATCAAAAATAGACATTAAGCAGAGAGGCCCTCAGACACCTCACATTGCCAGCCGGAGCTTGCAAGAACATGCCACCACCCAACCTGGGGCACACTACAGCCCTGCATGGGGCTGACAGCATCACCCAACAGACCCAGGAGCACCCTTGGAGCTGGAGAACTGCTCAGTGCCTCAGGGCAGGGCACCAAAGATGGGAAGTTCATCACTGGTGGCTTCCCTCCATCCCCAAAACATGGGACTTGGCCACATCACAACTCTAAGACACCTCCTGCAACACCCATGTGGCTGCAGGTGGCTCAGCAGAGCAGCTATGCTCAACTGTCAGCTCCTGTCTGGAGCCCAGATGCTCTATTTAAGGAGTTTAAGGCAAATTTAGGGAATTTAGTTTAAAAACAGCAAGAACTTTGCTATAGCTGGGTGTAAATAAATGCAAAATAGTTAATCTAATAGTTGGCAGCATAAGCATAGGCTGGGGAGAGGCACCATTCAGGATATATTGCAGCACATATTCTGGTTTAGAATGTGGATTTGGGTATTTAAGAGGGTTTAAGAACTGTCAGAGAAACTTGTTTGGTTTTTTTTTTCCTCTCCATTAAATGGGAGCTCAGCCCCAGATGACTTGGTCTTGCTGGAGGCCAGACGTGCTGGCTGACCTTGGGCACAGGGTCAGTGTCAGGGATCCCGTGGTAGGACACATGCCAAATACTTTTGGTATCATTTGATGTGTTTGGAATCACAGTACAACCCTGCTCTGGCAGACAGCTCAACACCTCTTGAGAAAACAAGCCCTTGCAGACACTCTGTGGGAAGCTTTGATGGCTGAGGACCCAAATTCCCAGCCACTTGACCCTGCCACATGAGGATCCTCCCCAGCCTCTCTTTATACGGTCGTGTCTGAAGTGTGGAAGATGCTCTTTGAGTCATCATCTGTGTGAAAGAAGATTTTTCAGCTCTGAGAAACTGTGTGCTCTGCCTCGTGGCACACACAGCCTCCTGCCAGGAGCCCCACGGTGCTGACCCCTCCAGGCACCTTGGCTGGGGGGTTGCTTTCACTACAGAGACATGGAAACCTCCAACCAACAGCAGATGATTGGGGTTTTTTTCCCAAGAGAAGAGGAAGATGCAACCAGCAACTCACTCGCAGCAGTGAAACCAGACTTAAACACCTTCACCCCCAAGGGGGAAGAGAAGCCGTGGCCAGGATGAGCCCCAAATTTACTGCAGCATGGGGAGCCCGTGGGAAGCCTTGGTGCCACCCCAGAACAGCTCAGCATGGGGGAGGGAGGTCTAAGAGACCTGGATTTTAAAGCCAAGAGGTTCTATCCCACCCGACCTCCTTGGCTTCTTCACTCCCACACCCTGGAGCAGCTCGGATGGGTTCTGGGACTGATCCAGACCCCCATGGGTGCTGAGCTCGCCCTGCTCCATGTCATACCTTCACAATTTCTTGAGCTATCTGCCTCGTCTTGTTGACATCCAGGACGATTTTGGCATCTCTCACCACCGAGTAGAGAGTCCGTCCTTTACACAGGCTGAAAGAACAGAGAAGGGAGAAGATAACAGACCCAAGGTTTGGAAACCCCCACCAAGAAACATCCCCAAATTCTAAAGGCAGCAACCGTGGCAGGGAACTATCAATAACCACAAGAGCTTTGGCTACAAGGCAACCTGTAGATTCAGCAAGGAAACTGGGAGGTCTCCCCAGTTTGGGCCTGGGAAGGACTTCGTGCTGCTCCCCAGCGTGTGCTGGGACCATCACCGTGGTGCTGAGCCCCAACCTGGGCCAGTTCCTGGCTCTTCCCCACGTCCCAGCCACCAGCAAACCAGCTGGTCCTCTTGTTTCAGACTTTTTTTGTGGAAAACTGGCCCCGGCTCCCCTCCTCTTCCCCCCGGGGGATACAATACTCACAGATGGAATCCTAGTCAAAAGAGGAAAGACAGGGAGGGGGGTGGAAAAAAAACCCAACCCAATGCACTGTACAATGTCCTCCAATTTTTCTTCTCGTCCCAATTACAGTAAAATCTATTTACAGAGCCTTAATTACCAAAGGCAGCTGGAGGGGGAGGGGGGATATAAACCAATTAAAAATATATTGACATTTGAATATCATAATGGAGTACGTGGGTGGATGCTGCCTCCACTCCCACCCACCAATAAAAAAAAAAGGGTATTTTTTTTTTTGCTTTTCTCTATCCACCCACGCTCATTATAGGCAACTTTAGAAAGATGAGACTGGATACCTGTGCCTGGGAAATAAAGAGCCTGACACACGTCTCATTAAAGAGGCTTTGGCACCAGCAGATGTTAATTTGATCCTGTTCTAGTTAACAAATAAAAAGTTACAGGTTTTAATTCCTTTAGTCGCCCCCTTCTGCTTTCTCACTCAGCTCCACCACTTTACTTCTTCTCCAAGCCCCAGGGATGCCAGCACGGACCAGTCTGGATTTATCCCCTAGGAGATAAGGGGTTTGGTCCCTTTTTGGGTGGAAATCACCCCAAGTTGAAGCTCGTTGCACAGGCTGGGGAGCATCCCACCGAGCTGCCCTGGGTTTGCCTGCACACCACATTGCTTGGACGGGGAGAGGGATGGGTCAGAGCCCAGGCTCGGGTGAGGAAGAGGAGGCACATCAAGAGAGGAGCACAGGGGAAAGGGAACTGGGGGGCCTGGGGGGCAGCAGGATGCCCATGAGCCAGCAATGAGCCCTCGTGGCCAAGAAGGCCAATGGCATCCTGGTGTGTGTTAGGTGGTATGTGGTTAGGAGGTCAAGAGAGGTTCTCCTCCCCCTCTACTCTGCCCCGGTGAGACCACACCTGGAATATCGTGTTCAGTTCTGGGCCCCTCAGCTCAAGAAGGAGAGGGAACTGCTTGAGAAGGTCCAGCACAGAGCCACAGAGATGATTATGGGAGTGGAGCACCTCCCTCATGATGAGAGGCTGGGGGAGCTGGGTCTCCTTAGCCTGGAGAAGAGGAGACTGAGGGGTGACCTGATTGATGTTTATAAATATGTAAAGGGTGAGTGTCAGGAGGTTGGAGCCAGGCTCTTCTCTGTGATACTCAGTGATAGGACAAGGGGCAACAGATCCAAGCTGGAACATAAGAGGTTCCACAGAAACATGAGGAAGAACTTCTTCCCTGTGAGGGTGACAGAGCCCTGGAGCAGCCTGTGGAGTCTCCTTCTCTGGAGACCTTTAAAGCCCACCTGGATGTGCTCCTATGTGACCTGCTCTAGGTGGCCCTGCTCTGGCAGGGGTGTTGCACTAGATGACCTTTTGAGGTCCTTTCCAACCCTATGACAGTGATGTTCAGCACAGCCCTGCACAGGAGCGAGCTGCCCAG